AGAAAACTTGTCATAGGAAATGTAATGAGATAGAGGGTGTACCGTAGAGGACGCTTGATTGGAGCTTGGGTGTGCATGATCGACAGAAGGGGGGACGTTGACTTCGTAATCCTTGAAACGGGCTAGTTGTGTCTTGGCCCGTTGAGACGTGCGGCCCAAAAGAGTTTCGTTATTTGGCTGCTGCAAGTTGTCAACATTGGGCTCTTGATCATCGATGGGCTCATTGACTTGCGTCAGTTCACATAAAGGACTACTAGGCCCATCGTTTTGTGTTGGGGTGTCTACACCATCGATAGACTCTTGCTCAGAAGCAATATTTTCCTTGTTTTGCACATTACTTTCATCACAATCCCCATTGTTTTCATGTGACTCATATTCAAGGAGTTGTTGGTATTGAGTAACAATCTCATTATCTCCCAAGTCAGTACCTTCTTTATCACTTGAGAAAGGAAAATTGCTTTCTATGAATTTCACATCCCTGCTAACAATGATTTTTCTTTTTTCTAAATCATTGATTTTATAACCTTTTGTGCCAAAAGGGTATCCTACAAATACCCCGACCTTTCCTCTCGGAGCAAATTTATCCCCTTTTGTTTCACTGTTCCAGAAGTAAGCTAAACATCCCAGAACGCGCATGTGATCATAAGGAGGTTCCTTTCCAAATATGATCTCATAAGGTGTTTTATACTTAATCACCTTGGAAGGCAACCTGTTGATGATGTAGGCTGCGGATAAAACACATTCCCCCCAAAACCTTATGGGAAATTTTCCTTCGAACCTTAAAGCACGAGCAACTTCTAAAAGATGTTTGTGTTTTCTTTCTACAACCCTATTTTGTTGCGGGGTGTGTGGACATGTTGTTTCCAGTTCAATGCCATGATCGACATAGAAGTTTCTCATGCGATTGGAAGTGAACTCTGCTCCGTTGTCACATCTAATCCGTTTAACATTCCTTTGGAATTGTGTTTGAACAAGATTATAAAATGCAATCAAATAGTCACTAGCCTCGTGTTTATGTTTGACTATGTAAACCCAAACGGCCCGACTATAATCATCAACAATAGTGAGGAAGTAGCTACCATGCGTAAACGAAAAAGTTCTATAGCCACCCCAAATATCACAGTGATTCATATCAAAACAACCATTTCTCTTTATAGTGCTTGCTTGAAAAGGAAATCTAGTCAATTTTGCCTTTAAGCAAGAATCACAAAAAACTTCTTCGGAATTAGCAACCTTACAAAAGGAAATATGTGACAACTTATCGTTCGATGGGTGGCCAAGTCTCTTATGCCATTGGTTTGAGGTGATAACTGCCATGGCCTTGAGATCTTCTTGCATGCCCCCCATTCTATAAAGTCCGTCGATGCACTTACCCATTCCAATCAAGTCCCTCGTCCTCAAGCCCTGCATCACAAAATACTCCGGAAAGAAGGTGATAGCACATTGCAAATCTTTTGTTAGTCGACTAACAGACAAAAGGTTACATTTAAAATTTGGTATGAGGAGAACCCCTTTGATTTTGATCCCCCCTTTAAAACCAAGTTCGCCGTTCCCTTTTACAGGGACAGTTTCACCATTTGGAATGATAACTGGCGTTTCTTTGCTGCTTGTGGTAAGGTTTTCAAGAGACTCCCGATCGTAGGTCATACATTCGGTAGCCCCTGAGTCAAGTATCCAGTCACATTCGTTGTTAAATTTACCTGCCATGTTTGCCCTTGGAATGTCGTTAGTCCTTTGATCGCCTGTTTTGCCAAATATTTTGAGAAACATCTCGTATTGTTCATTGCTTAGCCCTGGTATTTTGTTGGTGTTAGCTTCAGCCAAAGCTGCTTTCGGCTTGTTTGCTTCTTTCTTTCCCTTTCTCGGCCACCAATCCGGTAACCAACGAGCTTGAAACACCCATCTCGAACATGCCCATCTCTACCACAAAAAGTGCAGTGTCCCGTTTTATTGCTAGCGCCTACCTTGTCGGTCTTTTGCCAAGTCTTCTTATGGTTTTGATTGTCACGACCCACTTGCTGTGCTTGGAACGCTGCCGCATCAGAAGTAGGTGGCGCTTTCTTTCCAGTAGCTATATTCCGCTGCTGCTCATCCTCGGCTACCAGGTGATACGTTGTTCCAAGGCTAGGTGTTGGTTTCGTGGCAAGTAATTGGGTTCTCATGACAGAGAACTCGGTATCAAGTCCCATCAAAAACTCRTAGAGTCTTTCTTTTTCTTTGAGTTCCGTGATTCTTTTTCCGACATTACATTTACATCCACCACATTCACACCGTGGCGTCGGTAGAACCRAATCAATTTCATCCCATATGCTTCTTAATCTGGTAAWATATGCTGAAACAGACGTACCTTCTTGACGAGTCTGCGTGACTGATCGTTTTAGTTCGTATGCTCTTGGAGCACTTTCTTTTCCAAATCTCTCATGCAAATCATTCCAGATTTCAAGTGCTGTATTTGCGTATTTTACGCTGTTTCGTATCTCTTTCTCCATAGCAGTGGTTAGCCATCCCTTAATCATGGCGTCACACCGCATCCAGTACATGTATCTGTGATCGGTTTTGTTGGGTTTAATAAGGGACCCATCAACAAAACCAATCTTGTTCTTGGCAAAAAGAAAATTGGTCATCTCTTGGCTCCAATCATTGAAGTTGTTATCGGTAAGACATTCGTTTACGTGGAGTTGTTTTGGATAGTCGGAAGGATGCAGATAGTATGGAGAATTGGTGTCGATGGCTTCTCCATTGGTTTTGGAGCTTTCCAAATCGCCACCGGTCATGAGAATTTTGCTGTTAATGATCTTAATTGTGTCGAATCCGCTCTGATACCATGAAGAATTTGGTAATCAGAGAGATAAACTTTCTCTCTATTTTCTTATTATTRAAAATTCCAATCGATCAAAGGATATATATACTAGTATAAGGCAAGATAGAAACTAGGAAAGCAAAACAAACATATCTAGAAGAAAAGAAAAGATAAGAAAGAAAATAAAACTCTATCTTTGCTAAAAATACGATCGGATAT